AGAGTGAATCACAAAAAAAGACTAAAAAACACACTTGTCAGCCGATGCGTTGCCTGCCTCGACCCTGAGTTAGTGATAGTAGTGAAGAAAAAGATCTTTTGAACAGAAAAACGAGGTATTTAAAGGGACACATAAACCAAAGTATTCCACAAAAACGTCGAAAATATTCAAGTTTGTTAAGGCCGCCATTTCAGTGTATTTCACATGGTCAAAACAAAGGTTTACAATTATTTACAGAACTTATCTTTCACTGGATGGATTTTAGTGAAACTTGTGTAGCTTATAGTAAAATGTTTAATGATTTCAATGAGACAATTTCGTTTGTCCTGATAATTATTAAATACTATTAAAAAAGATAAAAAACTTTACAGCATTCTACATATTTTTTTGAATATTACTGCCATATTTTAAGGAGGTCCTTTCGCCACACCTCTCGCCTCAAATGTTAAAAAAAAAAGTTATTAGATTATGACTAAAATTAATTTTTTTCTAATAGTTGAAGTCCTTATTTATCTAATACTGAACTTTTAACTATACCTTACCTTGCAAATTTTTGAGAATTTTTTTTTAAAATATGAGTGTTTGTACAGTGCCTCACGAGAAAGTAAGTCCTCAACAATAATTCTCGAATTATAATATTATTTATTGATTAGATGGAGTAGAAAAAAACTAAAAATAAGGTTTTTGAAATATTTAGATTTTGTTTTATACAATAAAATATATATAGTAAACCGTGGAACATATTGAGAAATTTATATTAAAAAATCACAAAAAATTTTCAAGTAACCTAGTTGAAAGTTTTTTGTGATTTTTTAATAATAATTTCTCAATAAATTCCACGGTAACCTATATATTTTATTGTAAAAAACAAAACCTAAATATTTCAAAAACCTTATTTTTAGTTTTTTTCTACTCCATCTAATCAATAAATAATAGTAAAATTAATTATATTTCGAAAATTGTTGTTGAAGTCTTACTTTCTCATAAGACACTGTACAAACACACACATTTTTAAAAAAAAAATTCTCAAAAATTTGCAAGGTAAGGTATAGTTAAAAGTTCACTATTAGATAAATAAGGACATCTACTATTAGAAAAAAATTAATTTTAGTCATAATCTAATATTTTTTATTTAACATTGGTGGCGAAAGGACCTCCTTAATAATCAATGTTGCGTTCTTTTTCTAAACTAAAATTAAAAAACTAAACTTCTAAATTACGATTTCATGTAAAATTGATAATTTTGCTGGGTTTTAGTTTAGGACCTAAGTTATAGGTGTCGAGTGAAGAGAAAAGTAGCAAAAGTTTCGGCGCCGTGTTGCCATATCTTAAAATTGTCTTGAATTTAAAGAAAACAAACACGGAAAAAAATTGTAGAACAAAGGACCCCGCAATAATCTTATGGAAATTGGGTTTCTGTCAAATTGTCTGAATTTTTGATATGTTGTAGATTTTGTCATCCTGAACAAAAGTCTTCATGCGCACAAAGTGCCAAAATGAATATTTTGGCAGCTACGGAGCTGTCCAATCTTACATGAGGATTGAATCCAGTGACCTCAAAAACATTACCCTATATATTAGAATAATTAAAATATGCTTTTGACATCAGTAAATAGTATTGAAAATGAATAGTTTTGTAACGGGTCAGGGGAGCTTTGGCAGCTCCGTAGCTGCCAAAATATTCATTTTGGCAGTTTGTGCCCATGGAGACTTTTCTTCAGGAAGACAAAATCTACAACATATCAAAAATTCAGACAATTTGACAGGAACCCAATTACCATAAGATTATTGCGGGGTCCTTTCTATATTTATACATTTTTTTCTCTACAAAAAATAGTACATATTATAGGGACAGGGACAATTTGTAGTAAAAATTTCCAAATATTTGTAGAGAATCTATTCTAGAGTTATTATCTACAATATCTAGTAAAAATATACATATGCATCATAAGAATTGTTCTACAAATTTTTATAATTTTTGCTATTCATTGTATGAATTTATATTAAAAATGTATTGCGTTTCATGAAAATTAATACGAAAATTTAACACAATAAATAGTAAAAATTTAAACAAATTGTAGTAGTATTCGACAATTATTATAATTATAACCTAGAAAAAATGTTCCTCAATAAAATATTCAAAATTTATTGTTTTAATAAAAAAGACACAAAGTCTTAATTATATTATGTAATAAATAATAGTCATAATAGCTCCCTCGGTATCAGTTGGCTTTTCTGCACCTGAAAAATATAAAATAAAAATTAATACCTATTGAACTGCTCATACCCATAAAACGGAGATATCTATCACCTTTACAGTGATTGGGATATTAACTGAACACGTCGCAGAACTAAAAAAAAATGGGGGAATCTGTAACGTTGATTTTTAGCTGCTCAAATTATTATAGAAAAAATTTGACCCACCGTAATTTATTGTTGATAAGCTTTTAAAGCGATTATTTTTGTCGTAAACTGGCTGTATGTATTGTTAGCCTTCAGGTATCATTATTATAATTTAATTAATCGTATCACTGGACAGGGGTTTTGTTTTGTTTTCATATTATCTGAGTTATACATTTTTGTAGATTTTATCACAAGTACAATACCTTGTACAATACTGTCGTGTTTAAATTTATTCAATTCTCCTAAAAATAGAATATTTCGTTGTGAATTTACTTATATATTACCTTTAGGTAATAAATTATCTTCTATACCAATTTCATCGAATTTGTTTAATTCTTATTCAAAAGATTAATTATTTTAATTCAGTGATGTTTTGATTTTGGCAGTACGAATTTCAGTTTCTTGGTTGATTTGTTATGTTAAATGCCAGTCAACGACGAGACACGATAATTGTCAGTGTCATGTTTTGTGTATCGTTCAGTCTGGTTTCGAGTTTCAGGTAATGATATCGTTGTACAAGGTGCGTTCGTTTAACTATATACGCGCCTAAAAAATTTTTCGCGACCGATGTGGTATCGATTGATTTTTGTCAGTAATAATTTTCAAATGTTGTGTATATAGATATAGTTAGATATAGATATAGTAGGGTGATCTTTCGTAAATAAGATCTCTCTAAGATATGTACTGGTAAATTCTTAAAGATAAATTTCTGAACCCACTCGGCTTGTCATTTTCCAAAGGCGGAAGTAAGGACATCGTGCCATTTTTGTTGGTTATGTGCTTCTGACAGGTGCTTTTGAGAGGGGTAGAAGACAAGAACCTCATATTTTGGTCTGAGGAGTATAATCTGTATTCTTTATAGTCATCGAGCTATCCTATTAAAGGAGATTCTAGATTTTACTCCAGTATTAATTGTGAAAGAACGGGTATATAATATTTTTGGGAAATTTTGTTGTTTGGATAAATTCCCATGTTTTTTTGGACCCATTCCACACCCGCTAGAGGGGATTTAGAGACAAAAAACTTGTGAGTATGAATAATTTCAATAGTTTTTGAGTTATTAGTTCGTTGTTTCATATAGGGAGATTCATCGGCATTTGAGCGTGTAATATTGAAGTGGATTCTTCAGTAGTGACTGCTGCGAACTCTCTCGCTTGTTTTTTACCATTGGAAGGCAACCAGTTTAACCCTTTACGAAAAAGGTATGTTTTGTATATTTGTAACGATCCAGTTTTTATATTAAGACAAGTACTTTTTGATGGCCTTGTATGTGCAATTTTAATCTACGCTTACCTTTTTATCCAAATAAGGGTGTTTATTTACTACGTTCTTCGTTTCGTTATATCCCTGTGTTCGTTTACAGTGGGTTCGTGTAACTTTTAGTCCATTTAAAATAGTTATGCACAGTAATATTTAACTATCAATTCATAGAATACAAAACAAATCAGTGTACCTATCTACATATTCTTTGCTAAATTTTGAGACAATTCCAAATTCTTCAGGTTGTTAATCTCTTATATATTCATAGCATATAGCGCAAGAGAAAGTTTGCGTTAAATTGTTTCCAACACTTCGTTAAATTTAATACAAACTTCGCTTTGATTGACATAGTAAGATGAGACGTTATATGTGATGAATAAAGACATTTTGTTGCAGACAATCAATAACTCTCTAGCTCTAGAACATTATTTGTATTTTAGAAGTAAATTAAGCCCGCAATTTCCTTACGGCAAATGGTTTTCGGTCGAAACTCTTGAATTTTATATGTGTTGCAGTTTTTGACATCCTGATTAGAAGTATCCATGGGCACAAACAACATTTTTCTATGATTAGTTTTCTGATAATTTTCAAAAACATTTTAAAGGCGTAAGTGTTTTAATTTTCATAAATATTAAAAGTTAAGGAGTGGATCGCTAGGATATTTGTGACTATCATAATAAAATACAAACCATTTTAAAAACAACTGTACAGTGTGAATACTTTTTAAAATTGTAGTAGAAAAATTATGTGTCTAAAAAATGGTTTCACGGTTAAAATAATAATAATAAATTTATTAGGTATTTATTAGTGTACACAACTCGTTGGAAAGTATATTTCTCGCACTCGTTTAGTTTCCGCACTCGCCGCTCCGCGCCTCGTGCTAAACTTCAACTCGTGCGAAATGTTGCACTTTCCACACTTGTTATGTAATATACTATTTCCGCACTAGGGTGGAAAACTGACTCTTTCAACGCTAAAATGAGTGCGAAAAAGTGGACTTTTCCGCACGCTAGTAGAAAAAAATTTTAACGTGTATTTTTATTTATTTCTATGACTGTAACATAAGATTCAGTATTAATATTATTTATAAACTCAATTTTCTTAAGAGTTATTGCTCCGTTCATGAGAACTAATTTGTCGGCATATTACTCCTATTATACCCCTACCTTCAACATTCCAAAAACGGGTCATCGAACAACATTTCCCCTATCATAGAAAATGGATCGGCGATTTATTTAGTTATACCGGTGAATTGAAGATTTAAACGTATTTAGTAGAATTTTGAGCCTAAAAGAGAAAGTTATTTTTGAATTTTCCAATAAAACTAATAAATTTAGTTAGTCAAAACATTCTTCGTTTAAGAACATCTGTTACGAAGGCAGTTTCTTATAGAAAAGAAAATAGTCTTAGCACTATTAATAACGTTTTGCTTTTAAAGAAAGACATAGACAATGCAAGTTTTCACGTTTTTGGTGATCATAAAAACTGCGTTATTTATTTTTGTCAGAAGCATATAGATGAAACCAAAAACGAAATAACCAATTTCAGATCTAAACCTGAATTTTTTACAAGACTTTTACAAATTATACATGCTTTGTCAGATCACAGCAGAAGTCTATTACATGATGTTGATAGTAATATTGTGGAACAATTTCATGCGACAGTCGCTAAGTTTGTAGGTGGCAAAAGAATCAATTATTCCAGAGAGCGCTCTTACCAAAGTAGATGTTTTGCAGCAGTTGTATCATATAATTCGAAATCAGGGAATTTAGAATTGAAAAAATACTTTAAACCGTACTAACCAATCCATGTTAGTAACTGAATTGAAAAAAAAAGGCGACCATTAGCAATAAAATCTGAATCTAATCGCAAATTAAAAAAAAGTTATTCTGAAAAAACCAATAAAACTGATTTAGATTATGGAGAAAATTGTACCAAAAAGGATTTAGATCAAGATATTTATGAAGTAAAAAAACTTCAATTTTTAAACGAATTCTCTTCATCTGACGTTAAGAGAAATGTAATTTAGGAATAAACTATGTCACAGGCGGATAGCAGGTTTTGGCTTGAAATTCGTAGAAAAATGATTTCGGCCTCACACTTTAAAACAGTGTGTCCTAGACGAATTACTATTTTATGTGAGCCTTTAGTCAAAAGGATTATTTACCAACTACCAGTCAATGCTGCTATTTCTCATGGTCAAAAATATTAAAAAACGGCACTTTTGCAGCTTCAAGAGCAGGAAAATATAGTGATTAGAGATTGTGGAATTTTTATTGACAAAAACTATCCATATTTAGGTACGTAACGATCAGTTCACATTTTTACTAATATTTCAACTATAACATATTGCAAATAAGTTCATTTTAAATCAAAATAATAATTTTTAAATTTGTAGATGGTACTCCAGACGGCATTGTAGGAGATGAATTAGTGGTTGAAATAAAATGTCCATACGCTGCATATCAAATGCAGGTAGAAGAGACGATTAAATTGAAAAAAATACCCTTTTGGATTTTTAATAAAGACACCAATAATTTTGACATTAATATCCACCATCAATTGGTATTATCAAATACAAGGCCAATTACATATTACACTACGAAAAGGATGTATTTTTGGGGAACAGAGGTCCCAATTATCCACCTAAAGTGAAATATTAAAGAGACGATTTCTAGTGTAAAAATATGGAGAAGTTAAAAAAGTTTTATATAAAATGTATGTTGCCAGAAATGGTAGATCCTAGGCATAATCGGGGAATGTCATTAAGAGAACCTGATTACATCTTAGAAGCTATTCAAAAATTAAAAAATAAGAAACAAAAATAATTACCTTCAAAAAGTCAAATAACTTTAATAGTAAGATGTTTCTACAAAGCCGCTATTTATTCTAAAAGTATTTTCTTTAATATTTTTTATTTTAATCTAGGTACTGTTAAAACGCTATAATACCTATATTTATTTGCAAGTCTTCTGTAACTAATTTATTTGTAGTACTGGGTCCAATTAAGTTACCAAAAAATAATAACCGATCATTTTAAATAAATTTCGTATGCCTACTTTGTAAAAAATAATATCGAGCTGTTTAGTCAAACGCCCTGCACTTCACAAAAACAAAATTAAATTATTTTATAATTTGTGATACATTTACATCATATCTAAAAATAAAAAAAAATATGATGTACAGGGTTCATAATCAGTGGCGGCTTGTGGTAATTTAAAATGGGTGTTCACTTTTTCCAATAATTTCATTATATGTAAGTTCGGATTAAAACTTTGTACAAGAACCAATATCACTTTTTTATTATTTGAGTTTGTATTAAGTGTAGTTATTATTATAAACATCATACTGTTTTCAAGCACTAAAACTATTAATAAATGAATATTTTAGTTAGTTTGATATTTGTTTTGTTTTTAATACGTTGAAAACCATCTATAAACATTATTAGTTTGTAAACTGACTTTTCTTCATAATTTGAGATTATTTTTAAATATATATCAGGTTATGTAGAAAGCTTAACATTGATTTTTGTGTAACAAATTTATATGAAACTTTACCTACCATTTTTTAGTTTTTATTGTAAGTTTAATCATTTTCACAATTTATCACAGATGTTAAATAAAAAATATATTTTTAAATACCTTTTATTGGCAAATAAAATAAGAACTAAAATGTTTTAAATGTTTAGTTTATAAGATCAGTCCCATCACAAAATATAATATTACACAGACACAAACTAGAATAAAGATATATAACGCCTGGCATTTTAAATGATACTCTTCGCAGTTTAACAGACCCCCTTAACCCCCATTTTTAAGCAGATTGGTTTCACAATCAATAGGCCTCATCTCCTTATAGACCTTTATTTTTACTAAAACTTTCATGTTGATGTCGCTTTTCATTTTTGATTTGTTTTTTAATTTCAACCCCCCTTAAATCCCCCATATTCAATCAGATTTTTTTTTATATAATGAAAGGGATCTTCTCTTTTAGAGATTGATGGTTGCTAAAACTTGTTTGTGAGCGGCGCGCCAATTAATGTGTTCTTTGACAGTTTTCAGGATCTGTTGACGTGTTGTCTTCTCTTTTTAGCTATATGCATTCGGCATATCGTCTCACTCGTGTTAGGCTAACTCATCATAATGCGCCACAGACACAGTATATTTAAGTATACTGTGACACAGAGACGCGATCAGCCAGAGGACAATGATGTACAAAAAATTATAGATTAACACGTATGAAAATAAAAATATTAAAATTAAATTTATATTTTTGTTATTTATGTAATATTAAAATAATGTGTTTTTATCAAATTTAACTGGGTGTTCACTGCACAAATGAACCAATGGAGAAACTGCCCCGGTTCATAATATATTACGCCAATTTTGGCGTTTGTTTGTCCTTCTATAATATTCACTTATTTTAAAAGCAAAAAAAAACTCTTTTTAAAATCGTTGACATCAAAAAGAGAAAATATGTATTTATATCTTAAAGTTAGAAACAACAAAATATAATAACATCATTCAACGGCAGCCATCATGAAATTCGGACCAATCAAAGCCGGGTAGTAACAGAACACTTCGGCTCTGTTCCCTCAGTTTTTAAAATATTATTTCTATAAGAATAGCTTTTTGAGTTTTAGTCAATATATATAGACCGAAATAATTCTGAATTTCATTCTCTTAAACCAATAGCATAAATTACGAATAGGAGGCATTCGTAAGTATTGTAAAAATTGCAAAATGCTATTATACGTTAAATGGTGTAAATTAATATATTTTATATATTTGTACAAAATAAAATATTAAGTCATCTTCTTGGTTTATTTATTCTATGCTGAAAAGAGGGCATCCAAGGAAATATATTTCTGTAAACAATTATACAGTCTACAAATTATCAGATCACTACAACAGCAGACAGCAACAAAATTAGGAAAAACTTGTAAGTAAAACTATTTTCTCCACGTTTCATTCACAGATAAGTCAGAAAACATGTAAATTATTAATATAATATAAAACATTTGTTAAATACATTATTTATAAGGCTGATTTATAGATTTTATTATATTAGTAGCTTAGTTGATATTCTTTGCAAAATGATTTTTTTTTGAAAATATAATATATACCTACTATACAAATATAATTCTTCTACCTAATTTTTTCTCATCAAACTATGTTTTAAATATATTGAAACATTGCAAATTCTGTATTGAAAACAAAATTATCTCATGTAATAAAATTTCCCTCTTCGCACCAACACTAAATTTAAGTTCGATCTTATACGTAACCTTATTCCGTATCTGGCCAGATTTCAATACTAGGTAGACGAGGAAGGCAACAGCACCCATCCTTCGGTACGAACACTGAACGTCTTGAGAGGGGATATCGTAATCATATTTTTCAATCATTTTTATATCCGAAATTACTTTGCTATTTTAATGATTACGGCTTTATGTTAAATCCAATTTTAAAAATTATTTTTTGATCTTATTGAGAAAAAGATTTACTACAAGTTAACATTAATCGTTCGAAAAATAATGCATGTTTGATAACGTTAATTCTCTATTAAAAGTTGTTCTTTTTTAAACAAAATTAATAAACTTTATAATTTTTTGTAGACAAAACGGACCATTTTTTCAAAAAAGTATGAAAACCCAGGGCTAGTGCCACTTATTCTCTTTGCACATAAAAAAATATATGGTATTATCTTTAAAACTGTGTCTTCTAGGATTAAAACAGAATGCCTATTTTTAATACAAATTTCCTGCTATTTTCATCGGAGCAATAACTCTTAATAAGTCAGTTTTGTGACATCGTCTGTTTTTCCCCTCACCCTTCATATGAAAAAATGAATAGTATTCTACTGGCACATAATACTTATTATTGACAAGGGTTCAGTTTACGACAGTCACCTGCGCTCATGTGAATAATAAATTATTTTTAACTAATAATTTTCATGACTAACTGAATAAGCTGATAGTAAAAAATAAATATGTTCTTTGGCTACTAATTATTGAATAAAATAAGAGAACATATCTTTTTCTAATGCAATTTTCCTTTCGATCAAAAGCCAGTTATAGCCCGGAGCAACCATAATTTTATTTCCTCCTTACTTTTTTCTTCGTCGTCCATTTCGAGAAAAGAGTGACATTATAAATCGTCAGAGGGATATTGAAGTGAACTGGGGGTCTTACATCAAAGTCAAAAGTTAATTTCCTTTTGCGTCTTGACCAAGTTATTATTTAATCTGTGTTGTGGTCATTTCTATACACTTTTGATTGATGGAAATCATATTTCATTCAACGGTCGCGGCCTGCGACTACACACAAAAAGTTAATTGATTAATTAAATTTTCTTTCCTTTTGGCGTTTAATGTTTTTATGGTTGGCTCTTTATTGAAAAAGTTTCTTCATAAATGGGAACACTAAAAGGTTTTGTTGATATGCTTTTACTGGTGGTCGGTTTTTATTGACATTTATATTTTTAATTTCACTTAATGTATTTAATTATTGTAATGTTCAAAAGGGAATTAAAAAATAATTGAAAGACGAATGGAGATGTATATGGAGATGAAGAAGTTTAATCGTTTAATGATTAAAACTTATTAGGAAGAGTACAAGGGAGAAAGGAGAAAGGCCACTATTCATGTTTTCCAATAAATTGAATTTTAATAATTGATACCGTATTCTTATTATAATAATGATATAATTATTTACCTATTATTTGAAGTTTTATAACCATTTAGTAACATTTTGGTAATAAAAAATTAAAAATATGCAGGGTGCGAAAAGAAATGTATTTGCAAAACCGCTACAACCATATCATGTTATATACGATTTGGGATTTTCTTCGTATTTTTTTTTGTTTTTGGCCAGATCATTCCATTTATTATTATTGTTTGTGTGAAGCAACTTCTCATAATAAGTTATGGCCTTCTCACTTGTATATAACTTCTTTAAATCTAACAAATTGCTAAATTTGTCAGCTGATATTGGCTTTAAATCTGAAGTAAAAATAACCTAATCACTGCCCTCAATAGTGAAAGTACTGCTTTTCCATTACGCAAATGCGGTAGCAGTTACATCGTATAGTCTAATCAACAAGTTCAAATGCGTATTTTTGGGACATACTATTACTAAAATTATGTTCGATAGCTCATTCGATTCGGAATAATGTCTAGATCAATGTGTGAAGAAAAATTTTGCAGTGCATAAAAAATTGCAAAAGTTATAAACAATTAAACTTCTTAAAAACATGGTGTTTTTTTAAGTTAATAAAATTTAATTCAAAAATTTAAAAAAATTACGATCTATTCTAAATTATTCCCGTTGAAATTAATTTGCCAACAAAGTAGGTTATTGTTAATTGGACGTAGTTATGCAGAAACGATCAAATCCACAAATCTACCAGAAACGACTTGAGTAGCTTTTCGATATGTTAGCGTCCAAAACTATATTCTGCTGAAACGATCCAACCATTTAGAAAGATATTAATAGTGGAAATCATAAAAATGTCCAAGCCCAACCTTATTTTTCGCCCACTTCAATTTTGCAATAGTGTACCATGATACATGGACTAGTCACCTTTTCAACCGGAGAACCAAATGTTCTATAGTTAATTTACAGAAATGATTCAAACTACTTGAATCATTATTGTAATTTAAAGTTTTAAGGAAGCCTATCTCCAAATGAAATGTGTATAAATGATCCAAATGGTTTGGATCATTTTAGCAAAATAAATTTTAATACTTACTTAAAGCTTTTGGTATTTTGTAACGTTTCAAGATCTTTGAATCATAACTGCATTATTTACAGTAACACCTAATACTAAATTTTAAAATTACAGAATAGATCCGCGTGCTGTACACGCTTGAATTTCGAACGTTAGTCGTTTGTTGTTCTTTGAGCAGTGCAGTTGAATACTTATGTGCATTTTACACGTGTTTGTGCTAATCGTAATTTAATAAACTGTAAGATATTTTTTTGTAATAATCGGATTTTGAATCAAAGGATGAAGAGGAGTAAAAAAATTCTTGATATGGCTTTGAATTTAGACGACTGGGGATTAAATCCAAAAACATCAGGTATACCATTTTGCATTTTTTTTTTGGTAATTAGATTACAAGCTTGTTTATTTGCAGAAAACAATATATCAAATCCATCTGGATCGTCTGTTTCTCAAAAGGAAAATTTACGTCCAGGCAACTGTGATGTAGACGGTAAGCAGTGTTAGCTAGCTATTTTGGTACTACTATACAATGCATATAACGTGTTTGTTTTTTTTTAGTAGGACCTTCATCAGCACTACTTCTACAATGCAAAAATCGTGAATCTTCTCTTCAGTTAGAACCACTAAAAAATGTGTTTGAATATAATTTTATTTTTGATAGCGATGACAGTATTTTAGATCCCGACTTTTTGCCCGATCCCGATGATTTCGAAATGGTAAGTTTAGGACCACGCACACGTTTTATATGAATTGTGGATTTTGCTGAAATTTTACTGGTACCTATGTTGTCAAAAATACAACTTTTTGAGTGTTTCAAAAAAATTATGATAGTATAAAAAAATACGGTTTTTCTTTTTTAATAAAAAATCGGGATCCGGTTTATTTTGTTGTGTTTATTAATAACAAATTCATAAAATATTAAAATTATTATTAGCTTTATTATTAATAAGGCTTGTCATCAAAATTACCTATTATATGACAGATTGTTCAAATATTTCTTGTTTATTCTAGGAAATAGATCAAGTTACTGCATCTTCACCAAATTCACCTTTACTCTGTGATCCACTAATACCCATTCCACTACCTTGGAACAAAAAATCTGCAGTATCCCTAAATAATATGAGTACAAAGCAAACTAGCAAACTGGGCGACCCAAAAAAGGTAGGAAGTTAAAATTTGGAGAATTCAATAGAAGTGAAAGGAAACAAAGGAAATACACAAATCAGTCCTATGTCAACACAAAAGGAAAACAAATATCCCCAAAAGTGTTTAGCGACTATGATTGTCAGTGTCAACAGAAATGCAATGAACAAGTTTCACGGAATTTAAGAGAAATTGCATTTAATTCGTTTTACGAGCTAGGCAGTTACAATGCCCAAACGATGTTTATACTTGCTAACGTTAAACAGGTGCCAAAAAAGAGATCGTATAGAGTAGTAACGACTGGCTCTTCGAATACCACTTCCAATAAACAGAAACAGTTCTCAAGAATTTATAGCTTATCGGGAATAAAAGTATGCCGAGAAATGTTTATAAAAACATTAGGCATTAGTCCCCAAAGGGTAACTATATGTTTAAAGAAAGCTAGGTCTCATTCACTGGTAGACCTTAGAGGAAAAAACCAAGGAGGTTGGAATACATTGCTACTAGAAGATAAACAAATCATAATGGACCATATAAATAGTATTCCACGATATCAGTCATATTATAGAAGAGCAAGTTGTTCTGATGCTATGTTCCTCCAGAATAATATGACTATAAAAAAACTATATGAACTGTACAACGAATTACTGATGCAAAAATTTCCTAACAGAAAAGCTGTTTCTCTTGCAACCTATAAAAAGATCTACCTAAAACACTTTAATTTAAAGACAAAGCCATTGCACAAATACCTAAATGCCTAAAATGTGATACAATTCAAATTAAATTAATAAACGCTATGACAGAAGATCAACAAAAATGCATTACTGACCAACAAAATAATCATGTGAAACTTTGGAAAGACTTACGGCAACGAATGAAGCAGGATATAGCACACAGTAAGTTATTACCTGAACAAGAATGTATAACTTTTGATATGCAGCAAACTCTACCCCTACCTAGAATACCCACAAATATTGTTTTCTATAAGAGACAACTGTGGGTTTATAATACTGGTATTCACTCTGGATCAGATGATAAGAGTTACTGCTATGTTTGGGTTGAAGGAGAAACAGGTAAAGGTGCCCAAGAAACAGGTAGCTGTTTCATGTATCATCTAAAAAAATTTCTAAAATCTGGCGTAAAGAATCTAATACTTTGGAGTGATTCCTGTGGCGGACAGAACAGGAATATAAAGATAGTTCTATTACTTAAAGTACTTTTGGCAAATCACGCCACACTACAAACAATATCTCATAGATTTTTAGAGCCAGGCCACACTTACCTACCAAATGATACAGATTTTGGGAAAATAGAGACTGCTTTAAAAAGTCAACAGAAAATATACACACCAGATGAATATATAGATGTTATGAGGTCATGTAAGAAAAAAAATCCTTTAACCGTGACCCGAATGAAGACAGTGGATTTCTATAGTACAGCAAAGTTAGAAAAACTCATTGTTAATAGGAAAAAAGGGACAGCAGGAGAAAAAATCAACTGGTTAAGAACTAAAGAAATATTGCTGAAGAAGGAAAACCCATATTCCATATACATGAGAAGTACATTTGACGAGGACTTCATTGAAGTAGACATTAAAAGGAAACCACTTCGTGGCAAACCTACTGTAGAAGCTTTTGAAGATAATCTCTTGCCTCTGTGGCCAAATGGCAAGGAGATTACAGCTGCTAAACTTGCTGATCTACAGGCTATGTTAGATCTTATTCCAAAAGATTGCCATTACATATATACAAACTTAGTGGGAAACGCATCACTCGAAGATGATATTGATGGGTATGCAGGAGAGCCAGATTATGAAATGGAAGATGATGAAAGTTAAAAACAACTGATTAGTTTTATTCTGTAGAATAAATACTTATAGTTATTCACCTGTTATTTTTTTGGAATAAATAAATAAAGAAATATTGTATTTTTTTTTGTCAAAATGTGGTGTTTAATAGGTATATTTTATTTCGCGTAAAATTTTATTTGATCATGGATCATTTCTGCAAAAGTCAAATTTCCATTTTTGACTTTATTTTTTAATTTTGCAATAGTGATCCAGTTAATTTATATTTTTTCTCTCTTAAATAATGGACCTTTTAGATATATAGTGATAAAAAGCGTGGATTACATCTTTGGTGTAATTACATCAACACAATACTCGCTATATATTCTATTTTCATCGCCTAGAGAATTTAACTTTAACATCATTTTTCTCAAAATATGGTTTGGGTGGATTGGATCATTTCTGCATAACTACGTCCAATTAAAAAAAATTTTAGAATTTCTCTCATCAGTACAAATTGATAAAAATATTAAATAATTACCGTAATTTTTTTTTGCTTCGTGGAGCTCTTTCTATATACATATAAAACAAAATAGCTTCATAAGAGTTTAAAAAATGTTATTACTTTGTTTATAATAATTTTTTAAATTTTAAAAAAACAGAAAAGTTACAGTGGTGCTATAAAAAATTTTTTTTTTCAATTTATTTTAATATTACTGTTTTAATGTCGAGAAAAGACATTTATTAATTAAAAAAAATTTTTTTTCCTCCATTTGTTTATAAATTTTTTATAAACAATGGAGTATTTCAATTGTTTTCAATTTTTTTTTTTTACCACTTTCTAGACAATTGCCAATTATGATTTTTTTAAAAAAAAATATTTCTTAATGATAACTTTTAATTGTTTATAATCGTTTTTTAATATATCTATTGTTTAAATTATTAGTTAAGAAATGTGTTTTTTTTTAATCATAATTGATAGTCCTATACAAAGTGACAGCAAAAAATTTTTTTTATTAATAATTCCATTGTTTATTAAGTTAACAATTTGTTATAAACAAATTTCCAACTTTGTTTTATTTTTTTCCTCAAAGAAATAAAAATTCCAAAAACGACTTAGTGCATTAAAATTACGGAATTTTTTTTTCCATTTTTTAATAAACTTTGAAAATATACGTACTATCGAAGTTTCAGCAGCTGATCCATTTGTTGACTTAAAAGTTGATATAACTTTAAACTATTGGAGATACGACAATAAACATTCAAGTCATTTTTGTAGGCAATGAAATTATCTCTCAAATAAGTCATTTGTCAATCCGTAACTATTGTAAATTTGTTGTTTTTTATATTTGTTTATAAAAATTGATTTTAGCTCAGTAAATAATGCAAATTCGGTTATTGAACACGGCAATTCTGTTAAGCTATTAATTATACAACATTTGCAATTGTTTATTTAATGTTCAGTCAATTTTTTTATAAACTATTATAATTTTTTTACTAAATCTTTGGAAAGTTTATGCATTCATATTATTTTCAATTCTTTACATAATATTGCAGTGTTTTTGTTACAAATCTTTAAAATTTAGTCAGACTTTTTTTACTGATTCATTTTTGTGTTTTTATCTTTCGCTTCGAATTTTGTACGTTTCAATGTGCAGCTGCGAGTTTACAGGTCAAATCTTTTGTCCGATCCCCTCAACATAATTCATTTTACGACTTTTCTTTCAATTATTTATAAAAAATCTTGCATGTTTTTCAGAGCAAAAATAATTTTTAATATTTTTAATTGAAGATAGCCAGAGAATAGTAAGTAAATAGCTAGAAGTAAAAAAAATTCCAAAGGTTTAGTAAAAAAATTATAATAGTTTGTAAAAAAATTGACTGAAAATTAAATAAACAATTGCAAATGTTATATAATTAATTGCGTAACAGAATTGCCTTAAAGTTCGATAACCGAATTTGCATTATATACTGAGCTACAAGCCGCAAAAGTTCGAAAAATCAATTTTTATAAACAAATGGAAAAAACAACAAATTGACAATAGGTACGGAATTGACAAATGACTTATCTGAGAGATAATTTCATTGCCTACAAAAATGATTTGAATGTTTATTGTCGTATCTCTAACAGTTTAAAAGTTATATCAACTTTTAAGTCAACAAATGGATCAGCTGCTACAACTTTGATAGTACGTATATTTTCAAAGTTTAATAAAAAATGGAATAAAATTTTTTCCGTAATTTTAATGCACTAAGTCGTTTTTGGAATTTTTATTTCTTTCAGGAAAAAATAAACCAAAGTTGGGAATTTGTTTATAACAAATTGTTAACTTAATAAAAAAAATTTTTTGCTGTCACTTTGTAGAGGACTGTCAATTATAATTAAAAAAAAAAACACATTTTTTAACTAATAATTTAAACAATAGATATATTAAAAAAACGATTATAAACAATTAAAAGTTATTATTAAGAAAAATTTTTTTTTTAAAAATCATAATTGGCAATTGTCTAGAAAGTTGTAAAAAAAAATTTGAAAACAATTGAAATACTCTATTTGTTTATAAAAAATTTATAAACAAATTTTTCTGTTTTTGTAAACTTTAAATATTTATTATAAACAAAGTATTAACGTTTTTTAAACTTTTATGAAGCTATTTTGTTTTATATGTATATAAAAAGAGCTTCACGAAGCAAAAAAAATTACGGTAATTATTTAATATTTTTATCAATTTGTAATGATGAGAGAAATTCTAAAAATTTTGTTAATTAACAATAACCTACTTTGTTGGAAAATTAATTTTTATGAAAAATTCCAACAGGAATGAATTCTTCTAAGTGGTTAGAATACACCGTAATTTTTTTAAATTTTTGAATTTAATTTTATTAATTTAGAAAAATTATTTTATGTACTTCGTTTCGACGCCGTGCGCGCTACCTAAAAATGGCGCGCGGAAGGCTACTTTGAGCGTTAAATTAAAATAATAAATAATGGAGGTACAGTTCCGGGAGTTGAAACTTGTTTATAGCAAATTTCCTCCTCTTTAAGGATCTTTTTTGAAAAATACAAAAATATTTATAGTTTACAAACTATAGGCGAAAAACCAAACACCATGTTTCTGAGGTGTTTAATTGTTTATAACTTTTGCAATTTTTTATGCACTGCAAAATTTTTCTTTACATATTAATCTAGATATTATTCCGAATCGAATAAGCTATTGAACATAATTTTCGTAATAGTATGTCCCAAAAACACGCTTTTAAACTTGTTGATTAGACTAGTACAGAAATGTACTAAAAAACGTGTCTTAGAATGTCGTGACCATTACCAAAAAGTAAAACAAAACAATTAAAAAACAATAAATGAGAAATTCTAGTAGAGTAGAATATCTATCTGGAAGACAGTTTAGAAAACTACAGTATTTTAGCTATCATAAATAGACTGGAAGCTAAAATGGTCGACTTCGGAATTTAATTTAGAAATCTTACTTAAATGCTATTTTTACCACAATGTAGCTTTGGAGCAAGATAAATTGTCTCTCTGGAAGTCCGGCTATGCAACTGCAATAGGGCCGCGGATCACTGAGGTAGTCCAGCTTCCATTATATGTTTCCCTATGCTCAATTAGGGAAGGGTGTTCTTTGAAAATTTTGACTTCTCTAATCGGTTGGATTTGTATGGGGATTTGACTACATAAATTGAGTTTATCATCTTCATCCAATTCCGAAAAAGAGCTTGTTCAATCTCAACTACATGAGAAGGCTCTGGTTTTATTCTGCATGATCTAATTTCATTATACCAGTCTTTAGGAAGTTCAGTACGGACTTTTTGATGTGTCACACTCCATATAAGAGTGGGAAAAGTAACTTTAATCTGATCTAATATTTTAGCGATGTGGACGACATAATGTGAGAACCGAAGACCCGTAGGTTTTTCAAAAGGAAAGACTTTTATTTCGTGCAAAACCTTTTAATTAATAAATGCAAAGCGCTTTCGGCATTGAACCATCGTCAGTGCTTATCTACAAAAATTGTGGATGTAAACTTACAATTTATAAATATGTGTAAAAATAAAATCTAAGTAAGACTTTTAAGTCAAAAGTTAAAATTATATACAGGGTGGCCACTTTTTTAATGGGATTGTATTAGTAATTTGCAAACCATACTAGTTAGAAAGTCAGTTAAATGGAGAAAAAGTTGCGTATCTCGAAGCATAATCTAGCGATGGAAATTAGTCGATAATAGCAGGCCCGGTTCTCGAGATATTTCGATAAAAGGAAATTCGACCTTTTCGGTTTTTTGTTTATCGTTCATTTATTTTTAGAACTACTAAAAAATGTTTTAAAGGTTTTTTATTTGATAGTAAATTTTCTTTGATTTGACGTTTTCATATTTTACATCCAACGTTTCGTATTCTCCGGACTACCCTCAACTTATTTTTGTTAAATGTGGAACTAGATATTTTATAACATTATTTGAAATAACTTTTCATCCTGCATCCAGTGGTGTATTACACAATGGCATTCAATGACGGTGTTTGGGTAATATGGACCGTTATTCAAATTTTATTGTTACGGATCTGTATTGAATTTATAATCAGTGTTAATTTTTAAGTGGATAATACTTCGAACATAAAGTGATTAATTAAATAAATGAGAATCAATAATTATTCAATTGTTCGACTATTAAAAAATATGTTTTGATAAGATAAATAATTAAAAAATATTCCCGATTCCATTTTTGACAATACATACCTACCAAATTCAGGTTCATCGTTTAGTAATTTTTGGAAGTACTGTTTCCATCTTTGCATTTGCTAGCTTTTTCCTTCTATTAAATTTCCCTCCTTGTCCTTGATGTAAATATTTTTTGGCGAGTGTTTTTTTTTGTATACCATTTATATCTTTATAGAAATGTTTAATTTAATTTTTTTTTGTAATTTTCTTGTATTTCTTTGACTTTTTGATGGCGCCTTTTCTTATTTCTACACATTTTTTTTAAACAGCCTTTCTTTGTTCTATATATTTTTTTTTCGTCTGAATCGTTCCCTGTTTGTAGGTAGTTTGTGTTTTTTTTTAAATTTCTTCATCACATTCGTTATCTAACCATTCCTTTCTTATTTGCGTTTTTTTCTTATTAATATTTTTCTCAGTTGGTATTTTTATGGCATTCTCTATGTTATTCCATTTCTTCTCTACTATGTTGGCCATGTTTAAAACTGGTGTATTGTCTAGACTTCTTTCTATATCTGCTCTATATCCCCTTGGTACCTCGTTTACTTGTAATTCTTCCATGTTATATTTTGTGTTTAT